AGTGAGACTCTGTCTCAAAAAAAAAAAAAAAAAAAGGGCATGAGAAAACTTTTCGTGGGTGATGGATGTTTCCTGTTTTGACTGTAGTGGTGGTGGCTTCACAGGTGTGTATACATGTGTCAAAACTTATCAAACAGCTCCCTTTAAATATGTGCAGTTTATTGCATGTCACTTATGCCTCAATAAAGCTGTTTAAAAGAACATGATTAGACTGCTCTCTATTTGCTGACCATCTAAAATTCAGTTTCTATAAGATGGGAAAAATAATACCTACCTTATAGTTTTGGTGTAAGGACCAAATGAGTAAAAAGTAAAAGGATGGAATAAGATGACACCTTCCCTTTGATTCGGCTAAAAGCCTTGGAGTCACCCTTTCTCCTCTCTCTTTCCTCCACCCGCATCCAATCCCTGGGCACTCCTGGGACTATAAGTAGAGTGGGTGGGGGCAGAGATGACACAGGGTTGGCTATGACTTGATGGCTTGATAGGTATGGAAGCGGGGTGATGGCTTCACGGGGGAGGCAGAGTATTATCCTCTCTTTCTCTCTCTCTATACATATTATATGTGCGTTTTCCATAATAATAATTTTAAAATGAACAGTGGCTCCCCATTTCACTCGGGGAAAAACCAAAGTCCTCACGCTGCCCCATATGACCCTACATGGTCCCTCTCCCCAACCTTTCTCCTTATTTCCTCCTACTAGCCTCCTTGGTCACTCTTCCAGCCCTGCTGGCCTCCTTGCTCTTCCTGAACATGCCAGGGGCCTCAGGGCCTTTGCTCCGGCTGTGCCCCCTCCTCAGAATCCTGCATGGTTTGAACCTGCTCAAGTGTGACCCTCTCAGTGAGCCCACTGGACTACTCCATTTAAAATCACCACAACCTCCACCTCTACTTCCCATGTCCCTTCCCTGCCTCACTCGTCTCCACAGCCAGCACCAGCACCTGGCATCCTGGACGACTATTTATTTGTTGCTGTCTCCACCCACGCAGGCCCTGCCCCTGATGAATGTAAGCGCTATAAAGACAGGAATTCCTGCCTGACTTGCTCACTGCTGCATCCTCAGCAATCAGAACAGTGCACAGTAGGTTCTGGATGAATGAATGAGCCACACATAAATGCCTGGTAGGGAGTGAGCACTGTGGGATCCATCATGGTCTAAAAATATCTAATTAAATCATTTGATTGTTCAGTTAGTACCTTCTGTGCTAGTCTTTGGAAAATGAGACTACGATTAACAGACATTTTTGCTAATTCCCGGGAAGCAGCAAGGTGGGGAGGGATTTCCACAGTCTTCGGAGGTGGGCGGACTTGCTTCAAATGCCAGCCAAGTTGCTGAGCCTCTCAGAGCCTTGTCTCCTCACTGGCCGTGCTTGTGAGAAATGGCCTGCAGTCCAGGGCTGGGCTAGCAGCTCACGACCTGCCCGCTCTGAGTGAGCCCTTGGCCTTTCAGCAAGACGGACAAGCCACCTCCATGGCCTGCCCAGGTGCTGTGTCCCTCTGGACCTGCTGGTGGAGTGAGCGAGTGATGTCAGATGCACTGCTCAGCAGGGATAGGCAGTGACATTGCGGAAACCACAAAAGGGGAGGTGACTCAGTCCTGGCCCAGCCTGAGGTCTTCTCTCCTATCCCCCCTCTCTCCAAGCCTGAGGTTATAAACAAGTGACTCAGAGGAATGATGGAGGAGTGCCCCATACAGTTCATACACGTGTCCCTGGGGCTAAATTTAATCCACAGCTGCAGCCACTGGCACTTTGGGAACAAGTTAATCTTGGTGGCTGAAACTGATGGGGGGGGGTGAGGGGGGTTGGGGATAGGGTGGTCAGGAGTCCAGAGCAGGGTGGGCATTGAGACTGGCTGTCCTGGGCCTCGACCCTGACCCTTAGACCATAGACAGGGTGCAGGGGCCCTGAGGCCAGGCAGGCTTAGGCCCAGCCTAGTATAGAACAAGAACAATAAGCATAAACACAGCTAAAGTCCTGGAATTTTTAACTCTTATGTTACTTTTTGAACACTAGAATTCAAAATATTCACTCCCCTAGAATATTAAAACCCTGAGAGTTTAAACACCTAGAATAGCAGAATCCTAGGAAATTAATTTTCTAGCACATCTGACACCTTAGAGTGTTAGAACTAACAGTGTACTCCCAGCAGCACAGTAGCTCAGTGTGCCTTAACTGAGGCTGTTACGGTCTAACTTCACCTCCTCATTGTGTAGGAGGGGAAACAGGCTTAACAGAGAGAACTGACTTGCCCCAGGCCCCACAGGAAAGTGGTGACCTTGTTTGCCTAAGGCACCGTCCTGCTTTCTTGCAAAAAGGAGGGTCTCAGAGCTGGGGCAGAAAGAGGAAAAGCTCTTCCGATTTTAAGGCCCCCAAAGAGTGAAGGCCATGACCAAGTTCTGAGCAGGAAACCCAAGCATCCTGCATCCAGGGGTGGCTGGAGTGAGGAAGATGGGAGGAAGGGAGGCACAGGACAGATAGGCCTGGAGAGCATGAAGGGAGAGCCTGAAAGACGGGCTCCAATTCTTCCCGCTCCCTGGACTGCGGTCCGAGCTTGGGCCACCCTCCCAGGGTCACCTCCTGACCAGGGACGCCAGAGTCAAAACCTTGCTGTGCTCCATTTAGAAATGGAGTAGCAAAGCCTTCATATTTTGGGGAGGGCCTAGACACCCCACCCCCGTCCCATGAGCCCCCAGGGCTGAGTCAAGGCTGCTCCGGGAGGGGGCCTCTGCCCAGCTGTCCCCTGTGTGTCATGTGCAGGAGGCCAGGCGGCTCGCCTTTCAGAGCTGGGGCCACCTCTATATATAGCCCAGCTCGGACAGCTGAGCAGTCTGACTGAACCCCAGCGGGAAAGCAAGGATAGAGAGGAACCCCCTGGCACTGTCGCTGCACCTTGGGCCTCCACCATGGCGCTGGGCTTGGAGCAGGCGGAGGAGCAGCGATTGTACCAGCAGACGCTCCTGCAAGATGGGCTCAAGGACATGCTGGACCACGGCAAGTTCCTCGACTGTGTGGTGCGGGCGGGCGAGCGCGAGTTCCCGTGCCACCGCCTGGTGCTGGCCGCCTGCAGCCCCTACTTCCGGGCGCGCTTCCTGGCTGAGCCAGAGCGCGCGGGCGAGCTGCGCCTGGAGGAGGTGTCCCCGGACGTGGTGGCCCAGGTGCTGCACTACCTGTACACGTCGGAGATCTCACTGGACGAGGCGAGCGTGCAGGATTTGTTCGCCGCGGCGCACCGCTTCCAGATCCCGTCCATCTTCACCATCTGCGTCTCCTTCCTGCAGAAGCGCCTGTGCCTCTCCAACTGCCTGGCCGTCTTCCGCCTCGGCCTCCTGCTCGACTGCGCGCGCCTCGCGGTGGCTGCCCGCGACTTCATCTGTGCGCACTTCACGCTAGTGGCGCGGGACGCCGACTTCCTCGGACTCTCTGCCGACGAGCTCATCGCCATCATCTCCAGCGACGGCCTCAACGTGGAGAAGGAGGAGGCGGTGTTCGAGGCGGTGATGCGATGGGCGGGCAGTGGCGACTCCAAGGCTCAGGCCGAGCGCCAGCGCGCGCTGCCCACAGTCTTTGAGAGCGTGCGCTGCCGCCTGCTGCCGCGCGCCTTCCTGGAGAGCCGCGTGGAGCGCCACCCTCTTGTGCGTGCCCAGCCGGAGTTGCTGCGCAAGGTGCAGATGGTGAAGGATGCGCACGAGGGCCGTATCACCACGCTGCGCAAGAAGAAGAAGGGGAAGGAGGCGGCCGGGGCCGAGGAGGCCAAGGGCACATCCGAAGCCAAGGAGGACGAGGAGGCCGAACGTGTCCTACCTGGGATCCTCAATGACACCCTGCGCTTTGGCATGTTCCTGCAGGACCTTATTTTCATGATCAGCGAGGAGGGTGCTGTGGCTTACGATCCAGCCGCCAACGAGTGCTATTGTGCCTCCCTCTCCAACCAGGTCCCCAAAAACCATGTCAGCTTGGTCACCAAAGAAAACCAGGTCTTCGTGGCTGGAGGCCTTTTCTACAACGAGGACAACAAAGAGGACCCCATGAGTGCTTACTTCCTTCAGGTGCCTAGCCAATCTTGGGAGCAGCTAGCCAGTGCTGGGTTCTGGGCACTGGGGGCAGCGTGGGGCCCAGCAGGTGCCTGTGTTCACACAGGGGAATGTCGCTGGGTCTAGGGTGAGATGTAGACTGGGAGGTTGACTGACAGCCGCTTGCCTGAAGGTTGAACAGTCATAGGCAGCTGCCAATTGCTGCGTAACTTCATGTCTCAATAGCAGGGGGACGTTAGCCCCAGGTTGGCATACATTGGAAGCCCTTGGCCCTGTACATGGTTGGGATCGGACACCGTGAGAAGGAGGAACAAGGTCAGTGTAGGGATCCCGGGCAGGGCCTTTGCATTGAGGGCCAGGACTGGAGCCCACAGCACAGAGTGCTCCAGACAAAGGGACCATCCTGCCTAATCCTCCCATTGTTCAGATCAGGAAACTGAAGCCCAGGCAGGATCAGTAGAGTGGAGTGCCCAGTCCAACTTGGGAGTGTGACTGTGAGATCTCAGAGGGCAGAGAGAGATTCCTGGAGACTGGCCATGTAGGTTTGAGCCTTGTCAGTTGGGTGGGATTTGGAGATGTAAAGGGGAGGGTGGCAGTGTTTCTGGCCAGGGAATGGTGAACAAAGGACAGAACCAGGGATGAGCCCAGTGAGTGGTGTGCTCCGTGAAGCCTGACCAGTGAGAGGGGTGAGGGGCAGCTTGGTGCTAGGGTTAAGCTCACAGGCCTTACAGTTGGGTGGGGGCATGGGGGCAGCTCCACCAGTTACCAGCTCTGCAGTGTGGGTATGCTGTTTATTCTCCCTGGGCCTTTGTAAGTGGGAATATTATTCTTCCTGCTTGGTAAGGTCGTTTGAAGGTTAAGTGATGCTTATAAAGTGCTCAGCCCTCAGAAAACTTTTCGAAAAGATAAGCCACTATTATCTTTATTATGAGGCTGTGGAGGTGGACACGACTGCAGACCGTAGATTTTAAGAGGTGAATGGCAGAGCTGTATTTGGAAGTTCCCTGAGCAGTGGGATGGGGTGTAGAGCAAGGGGTAGGCAGGCCTCAGTCCCGAGCTGTACTGGGGAGGCGCCAAGGCCACAGCAGGACCTCCTTCTTGAAGCTCCCTCCTCTCGTCTGTGCTGTGGTGCCCATCACTCTGCTGTCAAGGTGGTCTCTGGGCACCTACCTGGGGTGGGAGTGGGGGCGTCGGGCACTCTGCTCTCAGCCTGATGGCAGGAGGGGCACCGTCTCTCAGGCCTGCTTCCAGGCTGCATGGTCCTACCTGGAGGCCCAGACTCCTCTGTTATCGGACTGGCTGGGCTGGGCTGGGGCTGGGGAAGTGGCGGGCGGCAGCTGACCGGACAAACCCGGCCCGCAGTTTGATCACCTGGACTCAGAGTGGCTGGGGATGCCACCGCTGCCCTCCCCACGCTGCCTCTTCGGCCTGGGAGAGGCTCTCAACTCCATCTACGTGGTCGGCGGCCGAGAGGTCAAGGACGGAGAGCGCTGCCTGGACTCGGTCATGTGCTACGACAGGCTGTGAGCGCGGCTGGGGGCGGGGTC